ATTAAAAGATAGCAGTTTCATCTTGGAGTTATTAAAATGTATAAGCCACCTCTTGCTCCCATTAACAACTGATTGGAGGCCATCTTCAAGAGTGGCTGCCAGTTTTACTTTTTGGGGCCTATTGAACTTACTAGGAGTATTATATTTAAAATAAAATATATGATTGCTCTAAGTATAACACTTAGAGAGTTCAAATGTCTCAAATGAATATTTATCTTTATATGTGCAAGAAAGACAAAATATTGTAATTTTTTATCAATACTTATTAACCAAGTAATTTTCATTGATTTTGATTCAGTGAATTCAAATTAAAATTATTGAGAATAGAAAGATATGCTTTCCTGCAGTTAAAGAGTCAATTTAAAAAAAAAAAAAAAAAAAAGAAAAGAAAACTAAAATTATATTTATAGTATAAAACAATATATCAGGGCTACTTCGACATGGTGTAATAGTTATCAAGATTGTCTCACTAGATCAATTACGACTGAGTAGTGAGTTTGATCCTCACTGGGTGCTCTATACTTTTGCTCTTGTGCCACAACTAAGCTTAGTAAATTCATATATATATATATATATATATATATATATATATATATATATCTATCTATATCTCATGTTACTAGAAACATCTTGCTATAAGAGAGACTCTGTATATTAAACACCTCTCTTTCCCACTATCAACCTCACCTTATTTAACAGTGGGAATGGAGTGTTAAAAGTTTAAAAAAAAGAAAAAAAAAGAAAAGAAAGATGCTCACTCAAATTCCAGCTGCATTCAACACGTGAAAGCTTGGAATAAATGCTCCTACTAGTATTCGAAACAACATAAAAATAAAATACATCTTAAACATTCAAAACATGAAGAGAAACTAACACCACCTGAAACAAAACCCCTTTAAAATGGCTAAAGAAGTGGGTGAAGGAGCTTGGGGCAATGGACACTATGGAAAATTTTTACTCCCTTACTTCGACCAAATGGAAAAAACAAGAATTTTCCTTGTCTGCCATATTTAATGAAAGATTTAAAAGGAATGCTGTCCAAATATACATACATATATTTTATATATCTCAGTCACAGAACTATATCTCTCCTTCTTAGTAAAGAAATATTCCATTACAATAATAAGCATTACTCAGCACCAATAAGTGAATATACCTTTTATTACTATAACATTAGTAAGTATGGTAGATCAGGATACTAATACATTATTTTTCTTTTTATTTCTTTCATTTTAGCTTTTGGATATTCCTTGCTTTTCATGATTTACAAAGCAAATTCTTTTTTTTTTTTTATTATTATACATACAACAATAAAGTTAATTGTACAGATAAAAATCCTAGATTAATAATGCAGAATATATTTCAATATTTTTTTTGAAAGTACAGGTATCAGAGTATATCCCAAATATGAAAGATTTAAGAGTAAATGAACTGATATATAATATATTCAAAATGATATAATGCAAAATAATAATTGATATTTCGAAACATCCACATGTTCCCATGTGCCGCATTGTTTTGTTTTTTTATGGCTTATCAACTTTTTGTAGGTTATCCAAAGCAAAGACAAATATTTTCAGATTGTAAGAACCTTCTAGAGATATTAATGATTTACTGATACAAATCCTACTAATTAACCCATAGCTGGGGGTAGAAGAGTTAGATTCATAACTTTCCCAAACATATTTGTACATAAGTAAAATAACAAATCCGACTTGAATTGGAACTGCTCTCCGATTTCCAATTCTGAGCTGTTATCCATTGTACCACTCACATATCCAAGTTTACAGCATGTGGTATTCTCAAACAGTCACCTATCTAGATACTGACCATGAGCGATGTTTCTTAACTTTGGTGATCATAACTGTAAACTCCAAGTCAAAGAGCCAAATAACCAATGTTTTTCGTGATGTCTTCAAAATGAATTTTAGAGATTTACATTGGCTAACAATCAATATGCTTCGACCAAGATCAGCATCTTAATAATAATGATGATATCGATAACCAATACACATGTTCGTATATCTAAACTGAAGATGAGTAACATCAAATAATGAATAATCCAGAATGCATAAAAGCAAGAAAACAATGTAGACAGTAGCCAAGCTGATGCTGAAGGACATCTATCAAAATTATTTAACCACCATAGTTGGCCAATACCTGAAGGGATTTCTTATCCTAGAAACAAACTGAAAGAATAGAACAATTTACCCAAAAGAGGCAGTGGGGTATGCATTGGCTAATGATTTTACAACAGATATGAAGGCAGTAAGAAAGAAATTGTGCTTGGAGGAGAGTAAGTGGGGTGTGTAATACATATGAACAGGTAAAAAAAGAGTTGGAGTGGGAGAATCGATATTTGGAAGTGACAACTATTGATATTCTTGGGGTGCTGTTGCTGATGTCGATTAAGGGCTTCACTCAAATAGCAATAATTGATCGCTCCAAAAACAGTGTGCAGCTGAAGTGTAAATTAAAAGTAGCATTTTTTATTTTCTTTTTCCTCTCACCCTCTCTCATTCTGGAAAAGAGGGAAGGGTAGAAAGTATCATGAGCTATAGCTACCAACAAGCCAATGTAATCCTGTCACATACTGAAGATCTCCTGAGAGGGAGTGGTACAGAGAATTAAAGCATGCAGAAAAATATTATAGAAAATTATAAACTGACTTCTCTACAGCAAATTTTTTTTGAAGGGAGAACTCCTTTCCATATTCATTGAAGAATTTGCAATATATATATTTTTTTGAGAGTCAGTTATGTGCTATGTGTGATACATGCTTAGGTGATCATGTATCTTTTGATACATGACTGATGAGGCAGATTTTTTTTCCTGCTGTAGGTTCCAATTTCTTTCTTGCCATCCAACCAAGGCTATAGAATCCGGTCTGTCCTGCTATTTAACCATAGCTGGGGGAGAAGAAGAGAATTCATACCTTACCCAAGGTTATTAGCATGTGTGAATGTAATGGATTTGACTAGAATTTGAACTTGGCTCTCTGATTCCTCAATCCAAGCCGTTATCCATTACACCACTGTGCCTCCACTTTTTGAGACTAGCTTTATATAAAATACTGTAATTCTTTGTGTATAGATTGCTAGGGAGTATAGGATGTAGCTAAAAAAAGCAAAGTAATTCCATGTGTAAAAAAAAAAAAAAGGTTCATTTTCATGTACCATATTTTAGAGCAAAAAAATTTACTAAAACTTCTGAAAAAATTAATTTCTAAACATACTATCTTTGAAGTAATAATAATAATAATTTTAAACAAGATTCGGTCTTCATTAACTGCTGAGTGAATGTTGTCAATGTCAAAAGTTTAATTTCAAACTTACGTATACTATTGCTATTGATCATTTTTATATAGTCTGAAAATCATTTTAAAAATATTTTATCTACAAACATTGTAAAATGAAAAGACCTAACAACATTAATCAAAGTTCTTAAGATGAATGTTCTGAATACTCTGTATTAGAGAAAGAGTTATTTTAATATAATAACTTTCCGTTCATTGTTAAACCTGCTGACTGCATTTCAGTGGTTTTAGTACAATTTGAGATAATCTAGGATAATCTGCCAAGAGATTTACTGATATCTGTTCATAATGACCAAGCCCAAGTCACAGATCACTATGTCCAGCTGTAGATCATACCATTAAAAGTTAGTGGATTTTGATAGCAAACTCTTCTTCTAGTTCACATTTCAGCCAACAAATCTGATTGGCAAGTCAAGGTGACAGCCTTTGCCAATACTGCACTTTACAAATTCAATCTTTGGTTGGCAAAAAGTAGTAACAGCTATAAGAAGAAAAAAAAATGTAGGGCAATTTAAGATTTTAAATATTTCAAATGCCAACCTTTATGCTACCACGGTTTCTACTAGAATGGTTTCATCAAGCAGTAAGTCCTGACTTACTGCATGGTAACATAAAGGTCGGTGATTCATATAACTTTCTGGTTAAAATATTTTAAAATCCAAAACATTTATTTTCTTCTTAAAATATTACAGAATTATAATTCTAGGATAATCTGGGTAGTTTGAATAAGAACAAATTCAAAGAAGGAACTGTAATATAATTGATCTTAACCTGGCATCTTGACTTCAGTTACTTTCTCACCAACATGATGTGACTTAACTATCTTTTCTACAAATATTTTCATGGCAATTTTTCTGACAAAGTTGTCCTTAGTGCCTCAACTGCACGAATTTAAGCATGCGACTAGATTGGTAACTATGTCTCACCCTTTTACTGCTGAACTAGCTGAATGCAACTGTCAGTTCTATTCAATAGTTTATTTTCTCACCTCTGGAACTCCCAATTTCTTGCTCCCCTGCCATCTACAATCTTCAAGAATCTCTCTTCCTAAATCATGTTTCTTTGTCCTTTTTCCTAAAGTCTTCTCATTCTATTTCACTCCCAGTAAGTAGCCCTTTGCATCCTAGTGGAATCATCACCTTACATGGGGTGAAATGATTAAAAAAAAAAAATTAAAAATGTTTGCAAAGGCATCATCCTCAAATTATCACAAATTTAATGCCAAGTATGCTGGAGGAGAGGTCTAGCCAAGTATTCTGGGGGAGAAGCCTAGTCAAGAGATGTCTACAGGATTAGTATGATCAAATGCAATCAAGTTGGAACTATAAGACATTAGCAGATAATGATTCCAAAACTTTCTCTACAGATGCTTGCTAACTCCACAGACTGGAAATGGATAGGAAATTGAGGAAGGAGGGGAAATCAGATTTTGATGGATCAGAACAAATCCAACAATCCAGGATTTTATGAAGCAGATTTTTCAGACAAATAAAAGGGTGGTTCTGGCAGTGTTGATATCTCTAAAGAAAAATTTTTGGTTGATCGCCTTCTGTAAATCTTGACAAGAAACCAATGGCTTAGGAATAATCAAAAGAATGAAATGTAGACATACCACACAGAGATTGCAGATTCTACAAATATTTCCTTGATAATTGAATAAAGTTTTTCTGTTTGAAATCCTTACATCCAAGATCTGAATTTGTAGGGAAGGAGAGAAATAGTGTGTGTGATAGTGCTGATGTGAAGAGAGAGAGAAAGAGAGATGTGAAGAGAGAGAGAGAAAGAGAGATGTGAAGAGAGAGAGAGAAAGAGAGATGTGAAGAGAGAGAGAGAAAGAGAGATGTGAAGAGAGAGAGAGAAAGAGAGATGTGAAGAGAGAGAGAGAAAGAGAGATGTGAAGAGAGAGAGAGAAAGAGAGATGTGAAGAGAGAGAGAGATGTGTGAAGAGAGAGAAAGAGAGATGTGAAAGAGAGAGAGAAAGAGATGTGAGAGAGAGAGTGTGAAAGAGAGAGAGAAAAGAGAGATGTGAAGAGAGAGAGAAAGAGAGATGTGAAGAGAGAGAGAAAGAGAGATGTGAAGAGAGAGAGAGAAAGAGAGATGTGAAGAGATAGAGAGAAAAGAGAGATGAGAGAGAGAGAGAGAGATGAAGAGAGAGAGAGAAAGAGAGAGAGAGAGAGAAAGAGAGATGAAGAGAGAGAGAGAAAGAGATGTGAAGAGAGAGAGAGAAAGAGAGATGTGAAGAGAGAGAGAGAGAGAAAGAGAGATGAAGAGAGAGAGAGAAAGAGAGAGAGAGAGAGAGAAAGGAGATGTGAAGAGAGAGAGAGAAAGAGAGATGAAGAGAGAGAGAGAAAGAGAGATGAAGAGAGAGAGAAAGAGAGAGAGAGAGAGAAAAGAGATGAAGAGAGAAGAGAAAGAGAGAGAGAAGAGAGAGAAAGAGAGATGAAGAGAGAGAGAAAAGAGATGTGAAGAGAGAGAAAGAGAGATGTGAAGAGAGAGAAAGAGAGATGTGAAGGGGAAGGGGAGGAGAGAGATGGGGGAGGAAGGAAGGAGAGAGAGAAAGAGAGAGAGATGAGTAACATTTCTATGCTTCAGCTACTATTCTACACCCCAATTATCAAGTACTTAATTGATCTTAAAAAGATGAAAAAGTTAAAATTCTCCTGTTCTAACACTGGTTTTAATTAGAAAAATAACTGTTACACCCATTTATTAATTAATTTTTTTCTCCATATCTCCAACACTGATTTTCAAACTATTTTCAAGTGCATTGGTACCTACATAGGTCATAAAAACAAATCCATTTATCATACAACTGTTAAAATTATTGTGATACAAAAAGTTTACTGAATACATTTTAATCACATTAAAAGAAAATGTACTTTGCAGCTTTTATAGGAATAAAACACTAGTCTTCATATATGTCAGTGAATGCTGGACAAACTCCTCACAGATGATGAGACTTGAAACAGAAATGTGGTTCTACAGAAGGATGCTGAGAATACCATGGACTGGACATGTGAGCATGACAAAGTTTTAAAGAAAATGGAAACAAAAAGGAAACTTACACTGAACATCAGTAAGAGATAGTTGAAATTTCTAGGGCACATAATGAGGAAAGAGTGCTTGGAAAATATGATACTCACAGGATAGCTTGAAAACAAGAGTGACAGAGGAAAACAAAGCATAATCTACCTAGTGACACTGAGTAAATTGATGGTGGAAAAAGGTTTAGGAGAGATAACAAAAAGACAAAATTTATTAAGAGCTACAAAGGACAGGAAATTGTGGAGAGCCATGATCACTAACATACTGAAGGGACATAGAATACGCAAGAACTCAGATTTTTATACTATCCTTCAATTTTGCTGCATATTTGTGCTAGTGATCCACCAGGGGTGAACCATGTTGGGTTTCATATACAGGATCTGAGAACCAAGGTGAACCAGAAAATCTTGTCAAAAGTTGAATACAAGAAATAATAATTCATAAATACTGGAAACCTAACAAAGGATTTGAAACCTGAACCGTATCTACTACTTTCTTTTTTAAGTTATTTTTAAACTTAAGAACTTTTAAGTACATTTCATTCCAAACTTTAGTTCTATCAAAGCAAAATTAATATTGGCTTTACTCTGAAGATGAATCAATTATTTTAAATGCTATATAGATTTCCTGTAAATTCTGTATCTAGTTTGCAGAATACTAAAGTCAAATTCTTATAAAAATTTCATAACTTCTATTCTTTTTTTTTTTTAACTACTATGTTAATCCTCCTATATGGCAGTGAATGCTGGACAATTTCCTCACGGATGATGAGACTTGAAACAGAAATGTGCTTCTACAATGTGCTTCTTCTTCTGGATCAAACATGTGAGCAAGAACAAAATTTTAGATAAAATGAAAACAAAAAGGACACTTCTAGTTAGAGACAGTTGATATTTCTAGAAAACATGAGGAAAGAAGGGTTAGAAAATTTGGCACACACAGGATGTTTTGAAAGCAAGAGAGACAGAGGGAAACAGCAAGTAATCTACATAATGAGTTTGTGTAAATGAATGACAAAACAGGGATTAGAAAGGATAGTGAAAAAAGAAACTGTTAAGAGCCAAAAAATGGATAGGAAATTGTGGAAAACCATGATCACCCACGTCCTGAACAGACATGGCAGATAGAAGATGTGCAATGTTTATATTCTCCCTATGTGCTAAATCATCTCTTTATCATATACAGTGTTTTATTTATGATCTATGTTTCTGGAATATGGGTGTGTGTCAAAGTGGTTACAATGTTCACTTTCTGGCCATGAGGACCATGTTTGAATCTTACTATTAATGATTTGTCAGGAAGGTAACTTAATGCTATTAGCCTGGTGGAGGTGATTCCAGCATGTGGCATCATTGGAAAGTTCCTGAAAACAAGGCCATGAGTTGACCCAAACTGTTTGAGTGAAATTGGGTAAATGGAACTGTTTGAAAGCTATCAATGGTTGTGCAAGCAAGTCATCATCACCAAAGGTTTGAGCATACTGGCCTTGTTCAAAGTGTTGATCAGCCAGATTATATGCTTTCTCCCAGAAACTAATTATGGTCTGCTCAGCATATTTGCAGTATAAACTACAGTTGGGCTATGAGTGGTGAACAGAAATATGCCTGAGCAAGCATCTGTAGCAGGGATTGATTAACCACCCTAGCAGACAGCTCAGAAACAAATAGTCAGCCATTATATTTTTGGAGGATCTAATATTTGCAATTACTTGCAGGCCGAATTTCTTTAAATCTTAAATAAATCTAAAATGTTCTACAGACTAGAAATGGATAGTGAGTAAATCAGATTTTGATGGATCTGAACAAATCCAACAATCTAAGGAAATTTCTCAGAAAAATAAAAGAATGGTTCTGGTGGAGTTGGTTCTGATACTCTTGAAGGAAGATTTGGGTTAGCTGTTTTTTTGTGAATCGTGAAAAGCAACAAACGGCTGAGGAATAGTTAAATATGTGAAGATTAGACAAACAGAAGGAAACGATTCACTATTAATGAGTTGTGGGATCAATGCAACTGTTATGACAGGACCGATTTTTTTTTTTTTTTTTTTTTTTACAGCTTATCAACTCTTTGCAGTTTATTTAAAGCCAAAACATATTTCAGATTGTAGGAGGTTGTTTACTGTCATGAAAAGGCAGTTGATATTAAAAGGAAAATCAAAGCAGTCCTTTCTTTAACTTTGCAAGACAACTCCAGCAAACACACACACAGTCACAAACTTTTATAGCCAATGAACTTAAGTAAATTTTTTATTCAATTTAGTTCTGGGTATTTGATGTTTCATTTGCTTTGAGGTTGGTAAGTGAAGCTTGTGGGTCTTGTAGCTCTAAGAGAAATGACATAATCAAGATACTTCAAATAAAAGGTTAGGAAGGAAACCTCCATCAATATTCGAAAGAGTGATAACAGCTATCAGACTTGAAAAACCTATTTTCCTGAAAAATTGTCTTAGAGAAAGATCTTATAAATTCCAACTGAAAACAGTACTAGCTGCTTGGTCAATGAATACTAAATGCTAATATTACCATTTTGAGCATTAGTAGTGCTTTTCTCTATTCTTTATAAAACAACATCCCTGTGGCCATAGCAGCTATGAATTCTGTGCTGATAGAACTACAGGGGAGAAAATTAAAGAGTTGGGACAAACTCTGAGAGAAAGGAAATCCTTATTTTTCCTTTTTTAAAAACAGACATTCATTGTTCCTTAATATCACATTAAAGTAAGACAAGATTTAGGGACAAACTCAGCAGCTGGAATTCATAATGAGAACAAACCAAAACTGAACAAATCAATCTTAGTATTTGTCCTATAAGATATATATATATATATAACCTTTACAAACGGCTATTCCCAGTTGGATTCTTTACTTTGGTGATTGGTATCCTAGATTCATGCTGTTAAGTTGCCACCAACAAATATAGAAAAAAATATGGAAGAATGAGAAGAGAAGAGGCTAAAGAGATTTGATCAATACATCTCTCAGCAGAGCACCGGCAGTTTCAGGCATAAATTCATGTAATCAGCAGACAAACTAAGATCAGCTTACTCACACAATTCCACATGGAACCAGGATATCCGGCAGACTCCTTAGCAACAAGAATGAATATGGTCACATATATATCATATATGTAATAATATATAGATTTTGTATATTTGAGAGACAGAAAGAGAATATTTGAGGTGGGCGGGAGAGTATATATGCATGTAAAATACAAATCTGTACAAAATGCACACAGCATTTTATATCTTCACAAAGGTTTTGATTTTAGAATTTAAGTGAAGCTAAGGAAAAATGTAGCTTGCGAGAAGTGAGAGAAAAATGAAAATGAAGGTTCATTTTATAAAATTGAATAGAAGAAATGTGTATTAAATAATGTATGGTTTTGACCAAGTTTATCCTGGTGGCAGGAAGCACAAATTAAAATGAAATAAAACCTCAGCAATAAATGAAGGGTGAAAGAAACAGACATTCCTACAGTGAAAAGTTGAATTATGTAAATCTACATGGATGGTATTTTTGTCATCAGTTGTTCTACTGGTTGCAAAGTACAAAAAAAAAAAAAAATAAAATAAAATAAAAAAAATAAAAGCCAACCATACCAGCTGACCACAAAGGTGTTTGATATTATTTTAGCATTGACAAACAGATGTAAGCGTAACAGAGTGGACAAAAACAGATGTGCAATTGAATGGAAGCATCAAGGCAACATAAATGGTAAGCACCCTACCCACTGCTGTGTCCTTAATCCCGGAAAACTATATACAAAGATGATATTGATTTGTCTTTTTCTATCCTTCACATAACTATAAAAAGTAAAACAAAAAAAAAAAAAAAAAATAATGCATACTTTCAAACTTCATAGTTTTTATTTTTGCCAACTGTATTATGGTTAAATTACGTTAGAATAATTACATTTTCCTGCCAGAGGAGAAGAGAAAAAGAAGTGTGACAGCAACAGAAGAAAAAAAAAAAAATCTATAAAGTTCTTTAAATTTTTTTTACTTTTTTTAAAAAAATTCTTCAAGACTTAAAATATTTTCAACTGAATAAAAATAATTTTCTCTATTTTTATTTTACAAACCCATAAGAATGGATCATGGGTTCTGTTCTAACAATAACTACAAAGTAAAACCAATTCCAAAGCATAATCTTTTCAGGCTTCCTCTAGCAAATTCATAAAAGATACAGAGAAATTCACTTTTAACCCAGCTATCACTCATGGATTGGTAAAGACTATATGCTATCTCTACAGTATAAATATCTAATTTTAATTTGCAACAACCACATAATTAATTTCTCTAAACAAAAAAGAGGAGCAAGTTAATTAGATAATTATTTAGTATTGGTATATCTAATCATTTTAACAAAAGCTAAGTATCTAATATTTAATAACTACAATTGCATAGCCTTTAGTACCTACAAAAACATTATGATTTCTAGACACTACTTGGTTTCTATGAAAGAAAGGAAAAAGGGCAGATAGAAGATGTGCTAACTCGTGTGTTTAACAGCTGTTTCAGTGAAATGGAAAAGTC